AACTCCTAGATTCAACAAATAAGAAATAAGAAAGCTAATTCCAGGGCAATGATATAGGTTCTATCTAATACAAGGACCACTGAATTGGAATATCTTTGTAGTTAAAATACTGATGGAAATACCCTACAGTTTACAGTGATATCTGGAAGTCTATACAACGAAACACCGAGGCAAGCACCAGGAGGAATCTTCTTAGCATTAAACCCTTTTAGTCCTAGGAGAGGTGCTTGGTGTGCTACTTTTTATCTGGACGAACAGCATGATCTAGCAGGTTTGTATTTGTATGCATTTATTTTGTCTCATATGCAATTTATCTTCTGAAGAGAAAACAGAAGAACAGGATAAGCGTGGTTAACGACCCGTTTCTTCCTTATTGACCTGTCTTGATTTTGACTCAGCCTAGTTGTGCAGAGCTGCTAACCTGCCCGGCAGGCGGGCAGCACACAGTTATACTTACAGTCAGTGAAGAAGACATGTGCAGCCCGATATTTAGCAGTCGGTGGGTCCTTAAAGTCACTGATAAGAGAGTGGACAGACTGTAGATGGAGAAAAAAAGAGGGACCTGAGCCCAACTTTAGAAGCAAATGGAACCTGTATTTGAACTAAGTTAAATCCAAGCTGCTTTCAAACTACTTACACAAAATAGCAGGGGATTTTTGGTGTCTGAGTCTAACACTCATGAATTCAGCCATAACCAAGTTCTGAGGACCTAAAAACTAAGATTATATCAGAGCTTAAATGAACAAAGGCCTTCTTAGCTTATTCCAGAATGACAGTGATAGTTCTTTGGAGCTACCCTAATAGGTGCCTAAGAAAAAAACCACAAAAAGGTAAACTGTCCAGAAACCAGTTTCTATTTTAATTAAAAAAATTTTTGAGATAGGGGCTCACTCTGTTGTCCAGGTTAGAGTGCTGTGGTGTCAGCCTAGCTCACAGCAACCTCAAACTCCTAGATTCAAGTGATCTTCCTGCCTCAGGCACCCAAGGAGCTGGGACTATATAGGTGCCTGCCACCACACCTGGCTAATTTTTTTCTATTTTTAGTAGAAACGGGTCTTGTTCTTGCTCAGACTGGTATTGGACTCATGAACAATCCTCCTACCTCGGCCTCCCACAGTGCTAGGATTACAGGCCAGGAGATTCACATTGATGAAGTTCTGGCAACTTAGTTGCATCTGCAGAAACTTGTATGTAAGCCATTTTTCAAAAGTGAAAAGAAAGTGTGAAGATTTACATAAATTAAAAGACCCAAGATAACTATCACTCAAAAGCAAGGAGGTGACCTTACTTGGATGATAATTTGGACACAACCCACCCTCCCCCCATATTATAAGACAGGTAAATTTGACCACTAACTGGATGGTGATGAAATAAATCTGTTTGTTTGTTTTGTTTTTTCTGGTTTTTGGCCAGGGCTGGATTTGAACCTGCTACCTAAGGCACGTGGGGCCGGCGCCCTACCCCTTTGAGCCACAGGTGCTGCCCCAATGAAATAAATCTGAAAGCATAAAATCCCGAAGTCTGGAGACGGATTGTAATTAGATACAGTGGATTTCCTCCCTAGAGAGGTAGTGCAAGGGGTAAAGTCAGAATGACCCAGGGCCTTAGAATACAGGCTCTGGCTTTCCGCCCAGCTGCTGTATTTCTGAAGGCTTAATACTCCGCATGTCTCCCTGCACACACACCCCTCCCCCCGCCCCTGCAGACTGCATGCTTACACAGAGCTGCGTGTTAAATGCGTGCTTAACCTAGAAATGTCAGACACTTTGTGCCACACAGATCCCAAGTAAGCACATCTAACCTTAGCCAAAGTTCTTCTCTGGTGGAAGATTTACCTTCTCAGAGGGAGTGATGAGATATACAGCCTCCAGGCTGGGAAGTGGTTCTCTGCGCTTGTTGATATCTTCCACAACTAGACAACAAAACAACCCACAGTGAATAAGCAAACATGCTGGTGATCATAAAGCTAGAGGCAACACAGACAGGCCACCTTCTGACTGACACAGCTAAGTATCTGCAATGGGGAAAAAGAACTATTCCCATCTTCCTTAAGGTTAGCACATTCCTTGGGAGTGAATTCCATTGTCTCACTGTGCTCAAAGGTGTTAGAAAGCCAGAAATCTCATCGCACCCAAAACTTCCCACTCTCCACTTCAGTTTAAGTAAATTCCTTGATCTGTCCTAACAGAAAATGGAAAATGCTACCTTATTCTGTCCGGAATGGTTCCTTTGCTTCTTCCAATTCCTTCAGAATTTTTATATTGGGTTTATTACCAACAATGGGATAGTTTTATCACTTTCCTCTGCATATCAAATGAAGACATTCCAAGAA